CCCCCACACACACACATGGCCCTACAATTGAGAAAATTCTGAAGGCTCACTGGCTGATAAATAAAAAAGAAAAGAAAAAAACATCTGAAAAGACACAAGACTCAAAAAAAAAAAAAGGTGAAAGGACAATATTGTTTCACTGGAATCAATAATTTCCTCGTGCTTGTTTGCTTTTGTTTTCTATTACTTTTAAACCTTTAACAGGACCAAGTTTCTCATTGTTCACAGAGAATGAAGAAAGATTTCCCGGTGATAAGATTTAAAAACGTCTAAATAAAGCTGTCTTGTGTTTAATATGTTTTGGTTGTGAGGTTTCAAATATGAGGTTGAAGGAGAGAACAGGTGAGAAAGGCAAGTTAACGTGAGAGAACATTAAATTTAGAAACAGTTATTTGTGCAGTGTTAGATTCAGATGTTTCATTGTTGACAGTGAGACACAAAAGACTATTAGTAATTATCCACTTGCAACATGTTTTCACATGTTTCTCTTATAAACACACACAGTGAGACTTTAAAAGTCAGAAACAAAGACTGTTCATGAACAAAACGATGCTTGGCTTTGTGTTTCTCTCTGCCTCTTTGCGTTACCACCTCTGCTCAGGCCTGCAGACCTCCTCGAGACACCTAAAGAAAAAAAAAAACAAGTGTAAAACAGAAAGTGAGAGACATGTTGACATGAAGACTGGTAACTTCCTGCTCCCACCCCCCCATCTTGCCTCCTGCCAACAAACCACACTCCTGCGCTTTGCTTTGTTTCAGCTCTTTCCCTCCTCTGTCTTCTTCTCTGTTTCAGCTCTGCACCCCGCCCCGCGTGGCCCCCCACACCCATTCAGCCTCTCTCCTCCCAGTCACTGCCTTTGACCCCAGCAGCAGTATAAAAGCTAACCTCACACGTCAGAGGAAGGTCACTTGCACAGAGGAGGGGGGTCAAGGAGAGGTTGCATTCATGCCCTGGGGCGCAATGCCTCAGTCCCAAAGGACTGCAGGCCATGTGACGCTGGGGAGGAGGGGGGGGGGNCGGTTGGTGCTGTGGATATTCATCCACACACAAATGCAGCTGTGTACTGACAATGACTGAGCCCAGACGGGTTTGATACGCTCACTGTGTTGTCTTTGAAATGGAGGGAATCAAAATGATTCAGAGGAGTTCAGATTCAAAGTGAGAATCTGAGTGTTTCTGTTTTTGTTTTGTTCACGAGGGCTGAAAATTCAAGGAACTACTTCCAAGTACTTCAGGCTTTGAAAAGTGGTTGGATTTTGAATTAAAAGCTCAAAATACTTGAAACTGTAAGTGTGTTGCTTTCACTGTCAAGTGCTCTGATGTATAAAGATTCAACAAGATTCCAATAAAAAGGCTCGCTCTCTCCCTTTGAGTCTTCCTGCAGCTGCATTATGAGAAGGCGTGCTTGAAGAAAAGTGGCAGGTTCTAAAACTTTGTGTCTTTCAGTCCTCTGTTTTGTGTGTGATGTCACAAAACAATTTTGTTTTCTTTTAAAGCAAAATAACGTGTTTTAGGTGAAATCGGAACTTGAAGCTCAGAACATGTTATCACCACAGAAAGCTTGAAAAAAACATTTTTAAATGCTTTAAAAGAGCATAAATTTGTCTGTGGGGAGGGTTCTGCATTCATATTACATCAACACCTAAATAAATAAATATAATAATAATATTGCTCAATATCAGAAGATAATTGATTAAAAACTACAATCTCTGCGTTAGAAACATTTGTACTTTTCAATAGTTCTTATTCTTTTGTGGTTTGTGTGTCTGTTTGGATCCATCTGTCTGGTGACTGTCTGCCTCCCACAATCTGATCTGTCTTCCTCAGAGCACCGTGACAGGTCCCTCTTTGTCTAACAATAGAAAGACAACCCCCCTCACACACACACACTCACACACAAACACACACACTGTTACACTTACCATAAAGCCAGATGGGTTTGTGTCCCCCCATCACCAGACAAATTAAGTTTGGACCCCAGATTAATATTCAGGCAAAGCACTGGCTCTATATAATTGAATCACAGTGCCATGAGTGTGCAACAGGGGCTACTTTAGATGCAGTCACCATGTGCGTGCACACACACACACACACACACACACAAACAAAGGACTTGGCTGCCAGCTGTGCTCAGTGTTCTGTCTGCTGCTTGGGGGACAAGTCATGAATACAGAATTACAGTTTTCTGAGCAGCAAATACTGTTTTATGAAAATTTTTCTTTTCACATTTGTATTCCTCTGCTGAGAAACTACTGTCGTGCAAAATATTAGAAATAATGCATCCAGTTATCATGAGACAATACACACATATTTACTAAAACACTGACTGGCTTGTGTTTATTCTGTTGTTATCGCTCACCTGCTTATATGCGTCTGTGTGGTTGTGTTTGTCTAGCTGTCTGTTAGCAAAATATCCTGTCTCGTGAATCACTGGGTGGATTTTCATGAAACTCTCAGAAAGTCATCACTGGATCTGCAGCTGCAACCAGTTAACTTCTGCAGTGAACTTGATTCAAGACGGCTAACCTAGCCATGGCTAATCAACCTTAGCAAACACAAAATTGACAATAACTCAGTCACTTTAACACAAGGGTGTGAAATTTACTTTCACCAAGGGCCACGTGAGCATTATGATGGCCCTCAAATGGCCAGTTGTAGTCGACTAAACACAAAATGTCAGGTTCCTTGTCTTGATGCTATGGCTGAGCACTGATAACAAATGATAACTATCTACTTGGTATTTCCTGCATAGAAACAGTGTTTAAACATGCCTTCTTATAACCAATGAAAAGTGTTACTTGACTGACTAAATGTGAAATAAATAACATAGGCATATTATTAAAGTAAAAGTAAGAGTTTTACTCATGGTTGTCTGGGAAATCCCACTGGAGGGACGTTACAGTTTAAATTTACGACTTGTAAGTTGGAAATTCCTACTTCCCAGTACAACTGAGCCGCGGCAAAAGTAGCTGGTAAAAATGAAGGGAAATGTAGATTTTGCACAACGAATTATGCCCGTTAAAATAATCGACATGCATTATGGGAGATGTAGTTTATGGTTGGCTTTACAGCAGTTTATTTTAAGACCTTAATACATTTTTGTTGCTATAGGCCACATAAAATGCCATGGTGGGTTACAATGAACCTGCGGACCTTGAGTTTGACACATGTGGTCTAACAGACATCAGAGTTGTAAAGTAACTAAGTACAAATACTTTGTTACTGTACTTAAGTAGAAATTTTGGTTATCTGTACTTTACTTGAGTAATTATTTTTCAGCGTACTTTTTACTTTTACTTATTACATTTTTACACAATCATCTGTACTTTCTACTCACTTCATTTTTTAAAAAGGTAAGAAGTAGAAAGTCGTTACTCCTATTTTATTACAAGTTGTTATTACTTAAAAAAATACTATCCTTAAATTGTGTCTCCTGGATGGAGAGAATTTAGCTGTAGTTGGATGAGAAGTATAAATATATACCATTGTGACACCCCTTTAGCTTGTACAATTCAATTCAATTCAATTTAAAAATACTTTATTGATCCCAGAGGGAAATTAGGTACACAACCCATCACAGCTGCACGCCGTCAGAAAAAATATTTTTTGGAGAAGTCACCTCCCAATAAATGCCATTTTGGACAATCTAACTGCTCACTTTTACTCAGGACTTTTACTTTTAATACTTAAGTAGATTTTGTGTCAGAAATTTACTTTTGATACTTACGGTAAGTACAAAAAAATTCAGATACTTTAAGACTTTTACTCAAGTAATATTTTTAGAGAAGACTTTAACTTTTACCAAAGTATTTTTATGATAAGATACTTGTACTTTTACTCAAGTAATATTTTTAGAGAAGACTTTAACTTTTACCAAAGTATTTTTATGATAAGATGCTTGTACTTTTACTCAAGTATCACTTTGAGGTACTTTATACAACACTGACAGACACTGAGCTAAAATCTGCTGTGAATTTAACTCGATTGGACTTATAATTTTCTGAGACGGTTCTCGTTATCAAATGATGCTCCACAAATAAACTGAATTGAAAGTTGCAACTTTTCTGTTAATTAATGAGCCACACAATGAGCCGGTAACACCCGAGAGGAGAGAAGACAACATCACAGCTCTTTAAATGTAACTATTACTTCTTTAACTTTTCTAACCTCATCTCAGTGAAGACAGGAAGCATAAAGCTCCGGTTTGCAGGAAACTCTGCCAGTCACATTTCAAAGTAACAAAGGCGCCTCCTGGCTCCCAATTTGAGTCTGTAATTGGAAGAGAGATGTCTTCTCTCCCCCAGCTGGATGTCTGCTTTGAAAATCATCACTTTCAGTTCATTAAAGCCTGAACAGCATCTTATCTGAAGGCAACAGGACAGGTGAGTGGGACTTAATCTGAAAAGATGCGCTGCACATTTTCAAAGAGCTGCCTCCTAATTAAAGACAGGGCTTCCTGTGTGGAAGGGTTGGGTTAACACAACCAGACATCTCTGCTTCGGTCCACACTAAACACGCCGTCTTAACTCAGTTAACAGTTGTTGACAAATATTGTCTGGAACTGTTTCACCTGCTGGTTTCAGGATTTAAGCACGTTTTTAAGCAATAAATTAAAAAAAGCATCAACCAAATTTATTCACAAATGTTGACTCAGAGCAATTACATGGATACCATATATCAAAAGGAGGCTAATCTGATCTAATCTAATCTTTGACCTTTTATATAAATGTTAAATATGATTTTAACAAACGTTTTGAGAAATGTGTTTCTTCCCCACATGCAGAAATTATTCATAATAACATGATTTATGTAGACCGGAGGGTAAACATGTTTTCAGATAACTTGGTTTCTAACGTATTTCTCCTTTTAGCTTCTTGGTGTGTTTAAATTACACTCTTTCATCAGAATATTTGACTAAACATAATGTAGTTTGTTTGATGGTACCCATTTACAAAAAAAAAAAACCATTTCTTATGTGATTTTTTTTTTTTGCTTTTTTATAATCTTCTTTATTTATTTATGGATTAGTGGTTTAAACATTTTTGACAAAACAGATTTTTGTAAATTAGTGTGCACCTACTGCAGCAAAAGGTGAATAAAGTAGCACTTTAGAAGTTTTACACACTAAGATAAACCTTAGGTGCTACCAATTAGTCTGTTTTTATTTAAGAGTGGATAATGGCAGGAGTAGGCCCAGAGGTAAAGCGATCAAAAAAACACAAGAATTTTATATAAGAACTTGAAAAACTTAAAAAAGCTGATGTGGCCAAAACACACACACAAAAATAATAATAATAATAAAAAAATCACCAGAAGACTTGATGGGAGCGAAATTACAAATTAAAACTACGTCCAGGGAAACAACAGTTGAAGCCACACTGAACTCTACGAGCTTTAATAACAAACACCTGGTGAGTGGACAATTATGAGTGGGCGGGACCAGAGTGACTTAACAGAACCCAACACTAGGAACACAGGTAGGTAAAAAATAAATACAATAATCACCAAAAACCTTACTAACAAACAAAAGACCAATAAATAAACAATAAAATCCAGACCATGACACTGCAGAACAAGATGAAAATAATAAATGACAAAGTTATAACGGTCAAACATCAAAATT